CGTGACGGCTACTCCCATTTGAGCAATGTCAAATGGGGGATGCGGTTGAACGGATGGGTTCAACCATGGGCATCCATGCTGTTAGCGTCATGCTAGAGGCTCTCAACAGAGATGCCCAACATGCTACTATCGCCAAGTTCATTCAAAATGAACTTGACGCTGAACGCGAGAAAGTAGCCTTGCTTCACCAACAAGGCTCTCAAGAATCAGAGTTGTTGAGAGAACAGAGTGCTGCTGTCTCAAAAGTTCAAATTGTTCTTGGGAGCGGACGAAGCTTGGGATTGCAAACTGGAGACGGCTTGGCTTTAAAAGTAGCGGATCGTGCCACCTTGGGATCGCAAACTGGGGACGGCTTAGCTTTGGACGCAGCGGATCGAGTCACTTTCTCTAAAGGCGGCAACGTTGACGATGGTAGGGAATCGCAAGATCGCTTGCGACTCGATCCTATAACGTTCGACATCGGCTGAGGAGTCGCGGGAACGGGCGTGTGGGTAGACGATCCCACCTTCGTATGTGTGGCTGAAGTATCCCCAGACACCAGCGACGCCACGCGATCCCGAAGGGTCGTGTGATCTCGTATTGCGGGATCACGTTCGGATGCCACGTCCGCGAGCTGAACTCGCATCTCGTCCAACGCAACGCCACGATCCGATACGATGCGACGCAATTGATCACACTCAGCAGATCGGGCGGATAGAGAATCCTGCGCCTCGCTCAGTTCGGCCTGGAGCCCCGATACCTGCTTGAGCGCGCTACACAGCTTTTCCTGGTTGGCCTGGAGCCCCGCTACTTGTTTGAGTGCACGAAGCAGCTTTTCTTGGAGTTAGAGGCCGGTTTTTTGTACGTCGACTTCTTGCTGTTAGCCTTGTCCAGGCTGTGGGACAACTTGTCGCATTCAGCCACCAAGTGCTCTCCCGCCTCGTCCATCTGCTTGCGTATCCCGACGATCTCACGATCGGCTTTCTCCTGTGCAGCATAACGTGCTCGCACAGTCCGGAGTATTTCTGATGTTCGATCAAGACGGTCTGGTCGACCCGGTCGGCCAACGCCTCCCGAAAGGCTTCGGACCGCTTGACCTCGTCTTCATAGCAAAGGCGCAAGCGGTCGTACTTCGATTGGACGAACTGAACGAAAGGGGACACGGAGGTGCGGATGGCTCCTGAAGATCCTCATTCAGCTGGCGATTTTGGATTATATGCTGCTCCAGCAGCCTCCATACTCTGGTACCGATCTACGACAGTCTGTTGGAGGTTCAGGCGAAGGTAAAGCAAGTCAATCGCTGCTTTTAACGCGGCTCGATCGACCGAGCCCGAGGCTTCGAATCAAGTACTTGGGAGCAAGATGGGCTCACTTGGATCCGGAGTTAGGACGTTTTGGCCGTTGGGGGTCCTGTCCGGAGCGGGGATCGAAGAGGATCGCGACAGAGAGATCGCGATGAAAACCAACCAGAGCCTTCCTCCATCTGGGCCGACGTTTCCACAGCCGAGCGATCACACTCGGTCACCGTCACGTGGAGGTGTCTGAGATCTCAGGACTGATAGGCGTCGAGGTTCCGACATCTGAAATTGGGATCGCAGAGGGCGACCCGAGGGCCCCCGATCCTGAAGCAAGAGGGTATACCTGATCCGGGTGGGCTGGATCGGACATCGTGTTAGAAGATGCAAAAGTGCGTGAAAAGGAATTGAGCACACAAGTTTGCACAGCTAGGTCAACACCGTGTGATGACTGACGGTGCAGGGAGCGGTTGTGGCAAAGCGGTCACAAGGAAATTTTTATTGGGACTTGGATCGGCGATCGCACGGGTCGCACGCTCCAGTCAAGCGAAGAATGCTATGATTGGTGGATACAGGCCGGGACGGGTAGCTGGCAATAGCGTACCCAAACCCCAAGTGGACAGGATCTTACAGCCTGGGACGAGGCTATAGGGTGGTCACAACCGTTTTGATTACGCAATCCGTCATGAGACATGGCAAGACAGGACCCTCGATCTCACTGGAAGACCGCGATCCTTAACCCAGATCGCAAGTCCGATCTCAGCTGCGATCCGCTAGTAGGATCACTATCCGCTAGTAGGATCACGATCCGCTAGTAGGATCACGATCCGCTAGTAGGATCACGATCCACCAATAAGATCACGATCCACGAGTAAGAACACGATCCGCTAGTTGGATCGCGATCCGCTAGTAGGATCATGGGGGTATCTTGGGTGGACCACAAGAAGATACAACTGCTGATATACTGGGTGTGGACCACACAATTGCGAGGGGACGATCTTCCTGGAAAGGCGACGCGTGGCATCTGGTTAGGATATACGGGTAGGCATAGGGGTAGGGTTTAGGTTGGTTGGTTAACATTAAACAGAGTTCAATTTACTTCACAAGGCACGCGTTATCTTCCGGGTAGGATATTTGCCCCCCCCGTCGAATAAAGAGTCGCGCTACACGTCTACGCAAGTATCACACCTGGATTGTTTTGGCCAGGTGTGTTCAAGAACTCTCAAGCAACATCAACTGCGATCGGACGCAGCAAAACACGTAAAGGCAAGGCACAAGATCGCGAGACGGATCAAGTGGTCAGAAGGCTCGCTGATCAAGCAACCACATAGTGGACAAGGCGATCTCGTTGAGATCGGGGTAACCTATATCAGTATCCACAAGTACCCCGTGATCGCGTGAAGATTTCCATACGATCACAACCCCATCCCCAAAACGGTCAAGTTTTCCTTTGACACGAGTCCACCTGGAAGAGTGCAACCCGCCCTACCGACGGGTACACAAGGTGCGGAAGGCAACACACACGGAATCGGAGTACCCCCTCCGTTCGTCGGTCGTCCGGGCGCCAGTGGAGAGTTGGGAGCGACTCACAAAATGAGCGATCGCCACTCGACCACATTCCCTGTTGATATGGTTTCTTGAAGCTGACGACGTCATTAAGGCTTGCCACATCGACGATGAGAAAATAGCAAGTCGCATTTTCCATCTCAAATTTGTCAGGGCGTGCCAAAACTTGTACCCTTATTTCTTCACTTACACGATCCAAACAAGTTTAGATAATTAACGGCCTTTATACCTGCTCAGCCAAACCTTTCAGTTGCCAAGAGCTAGGTTCGGGCCTCTTTCAGAGCTCCTGAAAATACAACTAGGTAAGTTATACGTTTATGCTTACTATCTGTACGTTCGTTATCTCGCTAGTTGCATGGTAGCAAACCCTGTCAGAGAATTCATGTTGCTTACGATGTTCTTACAGGTCGTTACAGATGGATTCGTGAGGAAACACACATTCGGCGTAGAGATGAAGTTTCGTGAGGAAGCGATTACAACTGTGGTATAAAAGGGCTATCCTTTCGTGTAAGTTAGGATCACTCCAGCATGACCCTATATCGTCCTTCGAGACAATTGGAGGCGGGAGTTCCAGAACCAATGGGCCTATGAAAGGTTGAGAGCGAGAGGCCTCGCTTTTCAAGCAGTAAGCGCGTGGTTGAGTGCAATTGATGTCAGAAATTAAAGCACTACACTCGAAGGTGTAGTGCTTTACGCCTAGCATCTAGGGTAGTTTTGTTGTGATTCAATGGGGTATTAATTTCCAATTATCTAGGGCGTTTGTGGGGCAATACTATATTTCTAGTTATCAATGGCATTTTTATTTTCGTGATTAAAAAGCGCATTTTTATAATTTCGTGGTTAAATTGGGCACTTTTATTTTTCCCATGTAAGTTACTATTTAAAAGCGATGCGATTGATCTCCAAAGATGTATCGAAAAATCTGGAACAAGATGGATGTTGGACCCGGTCCCAAACATATGGATTCGCACGTGGTGTCGTGTAACAGAGTCACGCAACGGATAGAGCTAGATATGATGTAGCAAACACCTCAAGATGTAATGGCCCGCGCTGAATATAGGGAGTAACAGATCGTTAAGACGATGGGATGCCTTCGCTGAACGAAAAAAAGTTCACGTTCTGTTACAGCGTACACCGCCAGCTTAAATTTAGTGGATCGCAACCCTTCCGTAAATAACCGGTCTACTTTGCTTTACTCAGCATGTGTTTAGAATCATGCCACCTTTTGCTGCGCATCTCCAATGCGTACTCTGTGATACAACTAGATTTTACCTTTCTTTTCATCGCATAATTGATGCTCTCCATAGCGAGGGCAGTGACAGGGTCATAATGCAAATTACCGCCACTACTCCAGGTCGTGCCGGTCCATTTTACGAATGGCATCTTTGGATACCTACTTTTAGTGCCCCATCCCAACTGACCGTATCACCCGATTGCCCGCTACCTGCTACGGTCCATCCGCCTGCACTACGTCAGGTCATCTCTCCAATCTAGTGCTGTATATTACTTAGAACCTTCAAGTCGAAGTCAGTATAGCAGCCTCTAGAGTTGAAGTGGTGACCCTCACGTTGCTTTAAAGAAGCACTCATTTAAGCCGCGCATTTTATGTAAGTTGGCCTCGTGAAGGCGGTACTATCTAGGAATTTGTGTCTAGTATCAGCCCCGATGTGGCGTTCGCTCGTCACCTCTTCCGGATACACAACTCTTATATTTATGCCAAACACTCGACCTCACCTTCCCAGGTCCCAACAGCTTAATTTCCCTTTTCGCAGCGTCGCTAAGTCCAATTTACACCATCGTCATGTACCCAGGGCTGGATGTCATCGTTACCGGCTTACCGTCACAAGTGCGCGATCACTGTGGAGGGCTTGCTCTGCATCAACCTACATCCTCACACATGCCCCATGCTACGTTGAGAATTTACAGGAGGCCAGTAGGTCAATGCGGACGATGCCGATAGCGTCGTTGAGTTTGAGACTATGTGGCATTTAGAAGTTCACGTAGCAAAAGACAAATGCATGATTTGCCGACATGAATCCTTTGTTTCTGGCTAGAACTAGCTTCTCTCATATGCGATCGTTGCCGTGCACTATTCAACGATAGCGTCAATTGGTATGAGGCTAATAATCGCTCGACACGGCCATGTCACCAACGTGATCCTCACGTACGCAAACGAAGTGTAGCTTCCTCCTCAGCTGGAGTGTTCTCAGGGAAGTCCGAAGACTCGCAGAAGTGCTGCTGCATCTCAGCCATGAGTTCTTCCTCCGCTTTTGAGTGGGCATCCATAACGGGTGCGTGTGTCTTGGTGCGAAGCACGGCTTCTGACAGCAATGTGTCTTCTACCGAAGATAACTCAGGGAAAGCTGAGGCTGCAGAGAAGTGACTGGCCGCGAGCTCTTCGAGTGTTCCGTTAAGGTCCAGGTCCGCCTGAACAGCAGCATTGTTCAGACTTGTAAGCGGTACTTTGGACGACAGCAGAGCCACGAAAGGGGATCTGGGGGATACGATACTGCGGGCAAGCTGACGTGGAATATCCAGTGAGCAAGAAGCGACGCGGAACATTGTGACTTGATAGGGAAGCTTGTGGTCAAATTGGAAATGAGAGTAAGTGACAGCAAGCGTGAAGGGAAGCGATTGTTGAAGTTGCGTCGTGCCGTTGCGTCGCAAATTGGATCAAAGCCGCTGGTCCAACGGCTCCTCTCGTTTTTTTCGTCTAAGAAATGGGACAGTTGCGATGGTGTAAGTCCCTGTTGTGAAAGGTGACGATAACACATGTGAAGGTGGAATCTGTGTATCTTTCTGGTCAGTTCGAGTCGTTTAACAACATCATCTACAACTGGTGAGGTTGGCCACAGCCAGTCACCGTCTTTTACTTTTCGGCATAAAACCTCATTGATGTGTGTGCACATACGGATGTGTTTTGAACTACTCGAGTGTTGACATCGATCATGAAGTAGTACAAGTAAGACCAACGATTGACAATACAGCATCCCTGGTTGAGAAACTTTCATTTCTCGAAACTATCATTTCTCAACACTCGTCTCGCAACAAGAAGCCATCAACTTAGTGAGCTCGGTCTTTCTCCTCATTCTATCGACCGCAAGGGTGGAAGGATGCTTCCGAAGAAGCCCTGTTTCTACTTTCAACGCGAGGGAAGATGTCGGTTTGGGGATTCCTGTAAATTTGTTCATGGGCGTGCACCAGACAATGTCGCACAACAAACGCCGTTTCGTCGCGAAAATGCCAATTCTTTCTCAAGTGGACGCCAAAACCACGACGTGACTTTAGAATCTGTAGTCCGTGCACCGCCTTTCTCGCTAACGGCTTTTAAAGCCCAATTAACGGAGAAACTGGCATCCAGTACGTTCTTTTCAGGTCATTCCGATACGTTGGTGTGCTTCTGGCCCGGTGCCAATCGGTTGGAAGTGCTATGGAAAGGGTTCCTGATGCCTCATAGCACCAGTGATCCGTGGCCCGTGAACAGTCAAACACAGGCACTGAACTTCATCAACTCTGGACTGTATGCGCTAACGAACGACAAGATCGCGCCACTATTCGTGAGGGAGTTGGGAAAGACTGAAGGTCGAGGTCTGCTCGTGATTCAAGAACTGCTCAATCTCACGTACTCGAACGATGCTGGTCGAGGTCGTGAGGTCGTGTCTTTTCAGCGAGGACTCGTTCCGTTCGTAACCGTGTTAACGATGCGACGCATGGAAATGGTCAGTCGGCACATGAGTGAAGCCAATCACGTGTATGCGTTCATGCGAACGGCTCATGTGCAGCTCTTCCAGCTGTATCTCAAGCATCTAGAGCAGGTAGTGGAGCGACATAGTATTGACGACAATGCGATGTCGCATGAGACTTTCCTGCAGGAGTCGGACGGTCAAAGATACGCACCACTGTGTTTCACACAAGTATGTCTCCCGCTTATCCGTTTATTGTATCTGTTGGGCAGCAAGTTCAACGACTTCATTTATGAAGATGCTTTTCAAGAGACTGTCAAGAGCGTCGATACTCTGACAACTACGTGGAAAGAGAATAGTCAAGGTGGCGATTCTACCCTCGACTCGAGGCTCTGCTATAAAGTAATGACAGAGGAAATCGCTCGACTACACAAGATGATCCGACGTGGTGAACGTGACATGCGCACGGGTGCGACGCGTATGGAGACCGAGCGAAAGAATTATGGCCCGGGGCTCGGACCTTGGGACGTGGTCGATGTCGGCGTGCCTGAGGAAGCTGTGCTGGCAGACGGAAGTGTCGGTCCACGTCACGACAACGATCATCAAGATATTCAAGACATTCAATTGCTACCTACGACAGAGGAATGCCTGTCACGTGAGAGGCCACTGCTGCCTGGAAACTTTCCATTTCACGAAAATGCTCATTGGTTACCACCTGGACCAGAGCGTTGGGTAGATACGCACTTTCGGCTCTATCGAGAAGATTTTTGCGGGACGATCAGGTCCAGCTTACAGGACTTGTATCATCGACTGGTTGAGAATCATGAACACATTGTTGCTGGTCGTCTGAGAGGCACTGTTGTGGATTACAACATATACCCGATCATCGGGTCTGCAATGCCACTCAAGCACACGGACAGTCGAGGCGAGCGAGATAATGGTCGTCGCACCGAGCGCCATGGGCTCTGTATTGAAGTGCAGTTCCAGCAACCATCCGCCGCAAGGTTGACTGGACGGAACAAACTTTTAAGGAATGCTGACGGTGATGCAGGGGGCCGAAGGGAGTTATGGGAGAAGACGGGTCGACTTCCATACAAAGGGATGGTTGCGCTCGTCACACATACTGCCGGTGACATGCGAGTGATCTTTTGCCAGATTGTCGAGCATGACATCGAAAAACTCGTGCAGGATGTAGTGGAGGTAACTTTGCAGCCATTTGAAATTCAAGACTTCTCGACGCTCGAGCAATGGCGGCATTTTGCATTGGCTGGAAATGATCGAAGGCAAGGTCGGTTGAATATGCTGCTGTTGGAGTTCAATAACATTTTCTTGGCCGCGTACGAGCCTGTTCTTCGTACGTTGCAAAGCATCCGACCCACCACCTTGCCACTTCTGGAATACCTGGCCCCTGAGACCCCACCGACGCCGGGCGAAACTCAAATGGAGTCTCCCATGTACTGCTCGAAGGATGGCTTTACATTTGACCTCAGCTCGGTGTTACGAACTCATCCGGGTGCAATGAACGGTGGCCCGGATCAACTTCGTCTACGACCCCTTGAACGCCAGTCCCGCGAGGCGTGTGAGACGGCGCTCGTTCGCTACTCAACATTAGAGCGTGATCAGGCGAAAGCATTGGTAGAAGCGTTGAGCAGCCGTGTAGCGTGCATTCAAGGACTTCCAGGTAGTGGCAAGTCGTTTATTGGGGCGATGCTCACACGGATAATTCTGGAGGCGAAGATCTTGCCCATTCTAGTCGTGTGCTATACAAACCACGCCCTCGATCAGTTCTTGTGTCACCTCCTGGACGCTGGTATCACGAAGCTTGTGCGAATTGGGGGACAGTGCAAAGAGCCCCGCCTGGAAGACTACAATCTCAAGAAGATGCCTAAAGAATTCCAGCGCTACGAGCTGAAGCTACTATACACTACACTCGACGAAAATGCGGATGCGATTGCTCTGAAGCTAAAACTACTGAACGAGGGCACTCGTCGCCCGACGTGGACATCACTCAGACAGTTTTTGGAAACCAACTATCCAGACGCATTCGATTACTTTGTTGAACGCTATGCCGAATTGTACGATGATGACTGGGATATCGCCGGGTGTAGCGATATACTGGACTATTGGATTCAGGGGATGGACATAATTGCTCTGCATCGTCGTGTTCAAATACGCCAGGGTGCGAACGACAGGATGCGGAATCTGTGGATGTGGAGTCTACCAAAGCGTCAAGCTGCTCTCGCGGAATGGGTTAGTGCGATGCGTGGCGAACTTGTCGAAGAGCTAATTGAAGCTCAGGAAGCTTATCAAGAAACGATGAATAAAATTGAAACTGTAAGGGACCAAGCAGATATTGACATACTCACGCGTGTTCAGATCATCGGAATGACAACCACGGGGGTGGCGCAAAACCAGCGGAAGATTGCGGCTGTAGAACCCCTTGTTGTAATTTGCGAAGAGGCTGGGGAAGTACTTGAGGCACAACTCATGGCATGTCTGTCTCCAGCCTGTCAGCAGCTTGTGCTTATTGGTGATCATAAGCAGCTTCGCCCGCACATTTCGGAGTACAACCTTAGTGTCGAAAGTGATCGTGGGAAACGGTTTGCATTGGACGTATCGCTGTTTGAGCGCTTGGTCTCGCCGTCCTCAGGTCTGCCGTTTTGGATGCTAACGGAGCAACACCGCATGCGTCCACAAATTTCTCAGCTGATACGTATGCTCTTTTACCCGAAAGTTCGCGATGCGCGTGAGACGCTGGAATACCCATCTCTCCGGGGCATGAACAAGAACGTATTTTTCGTGACGCACGATCATCCTGAAGGTGATACGGCTGCTGCGGTCGGGACGCCATCCCGCTCTCATTCCAATGAATACGAAGTCGCGTACATTATTGCAACTCTCATCTACCTCTTACAGCAGGGATATCACACGAGTGATATCGCCATTCTCACTCCTTACGTTGGTCAGCTTATCAAATTACGCTCCGCGCTCCGAGGAAAGTTTACTCTGGAGCTGAATGAGCTCGACCTGGACGAAATCCATCGTACGTCCGGCGATGAGGACGATGACAGCGAAGATGATGAAATGGTTGACACAGCTAGGACGAACAGTCAGGCTTCGCTTGGAGCAGTCAAGAAACAATTGTCAGGAGAGATTCGTGCAGCAACAATCGACAATTTTCAAGGAGAGGAAGCAACAATTATCTTGGCAAGCCTCGTCCGCAGTAACACGAACGCACAAGGTCGTGGATCAATTGGGTTTCTCAAGACGCCGAACCGAATCAATGTGCTTCTTTCTCGAGCAAAACATGGGCTGATCTTGGTCGGTCATGGCGACTTGCTGCGCACGAAATCGCCTCTGTGGTGCCAAGTGATCGATCATTTGCAAAAGGATGAATGTTATGGTACTGGGCTACCTCTGAAATGCCAACGTCACTCAGATGACTTGCGTTTCGCTACGAATCCGGGCTCCTTTGCGGAACTCGCACCGGATGGAGGGTGTCTACGTCCATGTGGCAAGCGGCTTCCGAAGTGCGGACACGCGTGCCCAAAGTGCTGCCACGTGGATCAGCCATCTCACGCTGCTGTGTACTGTACGCAGCCGTGTCCACGACTTCAACCTGGCTGTGAACATGTATGCCCTGGAATTTGTGGGGATCCCTGTGGCCGGTGCGAAGTTCGCGTTGGGTCACTTGCTCTACCTTGTGGACACACATACGACAACGCACGATGTTTCGAGGCTAAGAAGTTGGCAAGACTGAGGTGCAACGTAATGGTCGATAAGATTGTTCTTTCTTGTGGACACGTTCAGCGTGTCGCTTGTAGCACTGTGAAGGTCAAGTGTACACGGTTGTGCGGTGCGGTGCTCCCGTGTGGTCATGCTTGCTCCCGCAAGTGCAGTGATTGTATTGATAGGACGCTAATGAACCGTGAGGACGACACAGAGCCAGATTTCCCAATTGCTGCTACCGAACACGGAGATTGTCGAAAAGAGTGCGAGCGAGTGCTGCCTTGTTGTCATCGATGCCGTGGAATTTGCCACGGAACATCACCTTGTCCCCCATGTCAGCGTATTTGCGACGTCTTCAAATGTGAACATGGGTCTTGCAATCACCCCTGCTGCGAGCCTTGCACTGCCTGCACGGAATCGTGCACCTGGAGCTGCGAGCACCATGGAACGTGTGATCTGCCTTGCGGTGCCCCTTGCAATCGACGTTTGTGTGATCGAAGATGCACGAAATCACTCGAATGTGGTCATCAGTGTCCGAGTGTGTGTGGAGAAGACTGCCCCACGCCGGAGTTTTGTCAAGTCTGCGGCGACGACAATATCAAGGAGCGCGTAGCCGACGTGATTATGTTCCGGACGTACGGTGATGTTGATCCGAGTGAAGATCCGGTCTTGGTGCTCTCATGTTGCTCAATGGTCTACACTATGGAAACGCTTGATGGTACGCTTCACATGGGCGAGTTCTACGATAGTCATGGAAACCCGCGTGGAGCCTTGCCTGGGAATTACATGAGCATGCCCCAATGTCCGAACTGCAGCAAACCGATTCGTAACCTTCGACGGTACGGACGCGTGACCAAGAGAGCGGCGATTGATTCAGCTGACAAGAATTTCATTTCCCACGCACAACGTCAACTGGTCCGCTTACAGGAACGGACAAATGCGGCTATTGAAAACGGTGGTGTCACGGATGACAGGGCGCTGCGGCACGATCTCCGTTCGTTTGGAGTCACTGTGAAGAGACCTCCATGCCAGAAGGTGTACGAGGCTTGCGTGGCGCTAGTGACGAAGAGTAGGGGTGGTCAAGGAGGAGGCAATGTCTACATTGACTCGAGCACTCTGCCAGTACCCAACTCGTCGTTCCAATACCTGGGATGCTTTTACCTGCTCTCTGCTCAGCTCTCAATGTTGGGTGATAACGTATCGACAAGAACTCGAGCGCAGCAATATGCTCGCCAAGCGGTGGATTTGTTTGCCGAAGGATCGTTCGAAGTACAGGCACGTGAAGCTCGGCTGCTGCTTGTGCAGATACTGCTTGCCGATGCTGAAGCCAAACTGAGTAAGACGCTAGAGAATCGAAAAGAGCATAAAGAGCGCAAAAAGGCTGTGGAGAAGCCCACTACTGAAGCTTATGAACTGCTGAAAGGTCTGAGAGCGTCAGGTGCGTCTTTCCTGTCCAAATACGGAAACGACGTCGTACTGCTCGGGCAAAGACTTGAACGCATTATCCAGCGAGCAGCTAGTGCCACGTATTACCAAAGTGTATCAATGGAGGAGATGAAATTGATCAAGATGGCAATGCAGACGGAGTTTCGAGGCTCGGGTCATTGGTACCGCTGCATCAATGGCCACTCGTATTCGATCGGGGAGTGTGGAATGGCGATGGAGGAAACCCGCTGTCCCGAATGTGGTGCCCCTGTTGGTGGCGCCCGCCATCAGTTTGTAGAAGGCACTGTGCGTGATGAGCAGATGGAAGCGATAAACTGATTCGGACCGAAATTGAGGAGCTGGTCTAATGCATTTTGATGGGCGAAGTAATGCGAACGTCCTGGAAGTCGGAAGAGTAGTTTGTCATTCGTATGTTCGTGTGTGACTTTCCAGCTGCCCTAGTAACAAGAGATGCAGAGGTACACCGGATAGCAACAAACAGATCTCAGCAGTAGCGAGGAATTGAATACAAGGTCTTTTGAATGACTTATGCCGCGCGCCCCTCGCTCGTTAGGTTGTGTACCCGAATACTACACGCTATCAATCCTAAGTCACTTGCAACGATTGGATTGAGAAAGGGGATCCACATTCTTGGTCTTCATTGTTGACTTGCCGATAAATATGACCGCATCAACTTCCTATTGACATGAGTGATGATTACAGCGTCGAATAAGAATCTCACTTATCCGCCAAGCATGAGGACGTCCATGGCAAGCACAGCCGATGTCGTGACAATCTACGCCTTGAAACAATGTGTCGTTAACTTTCCTTTTCAACGCCGCCGATTTGTAAGCTTGCCGCTGCGTTCCGAATCTCAGAAGACCTCAAGTTGTAGTCGTTGACCGACGTTTTGTCATCTCGTCGACGTCTTCACATACGTGCTACCGCATGGTAATACGGCTTGGCATATCTCTTCCAAAGGGTGCAAGAAATCCTACGGACCCACAAGTCGGAAAAAGGTCACACACACTGTACCACATACGAAAGGCTACAAAGTGTGGGTAGACCGTATAACCAGGAAGACAATGGTGCCATGTCTATCTACACAATCTCAGTCTAAAGGATTTCATGTAAATGGATGGATAGAAAAACAATTTAACAACAACAGTATCTTACGACTCATTAGACCTAGAAATGGACACATCGACATCTGCCCATCTACAAGAAACGGACGGTCTACATCGAACACCACACTGTACCCGATATTTGTCACAGCACCTGAAAAGACAAACTTCGGCCGGTCTCTGTAATTGTAATTCAGTCTTCGAGCCATTCATCCGAGAAATGGTTCCAGTGCATTGGCAAATGCGCACTCTCCGCTAATTAATTAGTGCGCTAATATTCCACGTCTAAATTGATGTGTACAACCAACAAGTCACCATCTAACCAAATTTTCTGCAACATTAACTTTCCAATTTCTAATTGTGCAGGCGAAATTATCGGACAAACTAATTGCTCGTGAATTATTGGTTTGTAGGGAAACGTATGAATATTAGAATTAGCCATAAAGAATGAAAAGTAGGGATAGATATGTTACATGGTGTCAAGCTGCTAGAATACTACGTATTTGCAAAAACGTAAACATACGATTTTAGGAATATTCGTAGAGGTGACACGGTTTGAACGATTGACAGAACGTGACACGGTTTGATTTAACACATTTGCCACGTCAAATTACCCTGGTACACTGTATTGGTCTTCGGAAGGAAAGAGTAAATTACAATTTTGTTCAAGATAAGCAAATAGCAGGTGTTATATAGAAGTTTTTCGACAGCCGTATCGAATTTGGATCCTCATGGAACTCTCTGCTGCCACAGTTTCTTTCGCGCAGTACATTGTGCTTCTATCTGCCTTAATTCCATCTTGGTGTCAAAGCTGGGTGACGGATCTCAGGCCGCTGATGATGGGTTCGTCGCAGGGGGGAACCTTATCACTGGGTGAGCACTAAGTTGATTTTGAGTTACTTTGGCTCTTTCACTACATTTAACGTGTGACAAGCTCGCTCTTGTTCATCACAATCACCTATGCCACCCTGTCTTATGCGAGAGAGAGATACGAATCACATACATCCGGCATCAGCACTACTGTACACGAGTTTGCGGAATATTTCGCCTCAGCATACAGTTCAACCGCATGCACCGCCTCCTTACCGCTCGTCCACCTCTCCTAAGTCTGGAAGGACAATTCAAAGTGTAACGCGGTGATCATAATGAGCTCTTCACAAAACGATTGTACGTCTAGCAGACCGAAGCTAGCGTTATGAATATGAGGCTGCCAACTATGATATGAACGTATTCGATCACGTTGTGTAAATTGAACACGATCAATGTCAACAAGCTCAACACATTACGTAGTGCCCTTTCATAGCTGTGTATTAGAAAAGTTTTTGCTTGACGTTGAGGAAACGTATTAGATGTCGAAAAACTTCTTCACAACACCTGCTATTTGCTTATTTTAAGCAAAATTGTAATTTTCTGTGTCCTTCCATAAATTATTACAGTGCACCTGGGTAAAGACCGTAAAAAGCATTTAAACAATCATGTCGCGTTTTGGTCATATTATCAAATCGTGTCGTCCTTTGTAATATATACTAATGTGATCAATGTACCACAAGCAAGCAATGAAAATGATGTATCTGATAAAATGAGCTGCTAATTTCACCCTTCGTTTTTTGCTAATTGTTACACCTCAACAGACTTATAGACTAGAAAGGCGGATACCCCACATACAACATGGACACTTTTCTACTGGAAAAAAATGTAATAATTATCGCACGTTACCGGTGCCCCATAAATACGCTATGGAAATATACGGGAACCGCCGGAATGCGACACAGAGTACGAGACTCTTCTCCTTTTCCCACCTCACCTCACCACACCTCGTGATCTTTGCATACATGTTTTTTGATCTTGCCCTTATTAGGTACAGTACTTTAATCGATATATTATTACATTTGTATTCCTGAGACAGACAGTGCTAAAGGTTCTATAACGATCGATAAACTACTTCTCTGGGTTGGTAAATGGAGATTACCGTTTAGAGTTAAACTACTACTAAGACGAATGCATAAATCTCCTCTTAAACTGGTCACTCATTCCAGATCATTCGAAGACCACTGTCCAATGCAAGCTGCCTTTTATGCAACACACACATTGTTGTCATAAATCATGATTATCTACACTCCCCTTAAACTTCCAATCTCTCGTATAATAAATTCATCGCGTAGGCACATCAATTGCGGAGCACAAAGTAACTTCTTCAGGTGATCAGCAAGTTTTATAGCTGGCAGAACGTATTACAGCTGAATATCACTTTGCCTAATGTGTTCTCGAATAAAATGCGCTGCGAGTTCAATGTGCTTAGCACTAGGTGTATGAAAACCCTTGATTCGGTGCAATGCTCATCGCCTACTGTACATATGGACCGTAGTCGTTGTCTTACTCGTGTCACCCGTCTCTTCCAGCACAAAACGAATCTGCATGAATTCTTGCGTAGCTTGTGCCAATGCCACACGTTTCACATTAGCAGACGATAAAGCGACCAAAGGTTTGCGTTAAATGATCTGTACGTAAATTGCATCCCCGAGTAAAATTAGCACATCAAACTTGGATTGATGATTTTTCTTATCGATTCCGAATTTGCGTCACAGTAATCCCTAAGCATTATCTGTTTCTCGTTCGATTGTTTGTACGTAATTCCGCGCGATTGTGTTCCCATAAGATAGTGTAACACGCGTCAAGCTTCACGCCGGTGAATTTGTCGTGGCTGGTACAAGTAATGCGATAACGATGACACCGTGTTGCTTATGTATGTTCGCGTTGCATTCGCAACGTCAAACAGAGAACTCACAAGATTGCGATATAAAGTGATGTCCTTTAGCACTGGGAATGATCTATCCAGAGTTAGGTCCTGGCCTGTGCAGATGGGGTTGAAAACTGCATGAGCTCCATTTTGCTTGAACTTCGAGACCAACTACTAGTAAATTGGATCTGTTCTACCAATTATTTTCCCTTTTCTTGTGAGTAATTCACTTCTATGCTTAGAGAAACACGCACAAGTCCAAAGGACTTGACAATTATATTACTCTAACGATTTTTTGAAAATCTGTTCTGTCTATGCATTGAATTTGCATCCAACAAGGATGTCATCCATGTACAAGACTGGGTATGTGGGGATTATTATTTGCATGATTGCGTCGAACATAAAACACGTGTTTGCTCGACAATGTTCGACGTCCAAGACAGAAAACAGAGAGCACATTTCTTTTGCCATACTGCAGCGCTCGTTTTGACCCATATAAGCTGCATCGTACTTTGCACACCATTCCTAGTACAAATTAACGACATGGGGTGGATCTATAAAAACGTCCTCTTTTAAGTCACTATTCAACAACGCCATGTCCATGTCAAATTTCCAGATTGCATATCGCATGCTGCCACACAAGACGAAACACACGAATTGCATTTTAACAGGTGACAGGTGAATCTGTGTCAATGAAATTAAAATCATGCGTTTGCAGGAATCCGTGAGCAACCAAAAACGATTATTAACGAGCAATATCACCGTTTTCATTGTACTTGTGCATAAATACCCACTTGTGACCTATGAATTTGACAACTGGAGGATGTTAAGTAGCGCCCCATGTGTGGTTCTTAAAATGATCATTAATCTCTACTTGAATTGCTGCTTCCATTTTTTGCGCCCGTTGAAGACAACCCTCTCGCAAACTCATGGATACATAAGTAGTCAAAAGCAAAATTTCATAATCGGCAACGTATTGACGAATAGGGTCCGACTCATCTTGTTCGCTATACACCGGCGATCCCTCAGACAGAAGCGGTAGATTAATATTATCCTCATCAAAGCCCTCATTCGTGAGTAGACGAGACGATCGGAAGTACTATAAAGACATTGGTTCAACGTCGAGAACATCTCCAGTCGGTCATCTAGTAGAGGGAATCTCTCACGAAGCACAATATCTTGCGTCTTATCAGGTATTCTTGATAGTATGTGTGTACCATTGTTGCTACTTAAAGGGACCAGTTCGTGTATAGTACGACCGATCATTTAATTGTTGAGTCAACGACTTGTAATTCTGTGTGATTCCGTTCGATTAAAATAACCTAAAAGTGGTGTGAGAGATTAATATCTCCAGACGCATCTACAACTATTTCTTCTCAGCTAGTATCATTTCCAGCAGACTCATCATCGTCCATACATCGCCAACCTCTTTATTCTTCGGATCAGGTTATCCCGCCTTTACTCCGTCTGTTTGAACA